TTAGGGTTTCAGGTTTCGGGTTTAGAGCTTGAAGTTGCAAGCTCGAGACTGAAGTCTCAACCAAACCCTTCAGTCCTACAGCCGGGTTTAGGGTTTAGGGTTTAGGGTTTAGGGTTTAGGGTTTAGGGTTTAGGGTTTAGGGTTTAGGGTGGAGGTACGACATGGTAAGAGTAGTTTTGGGTGGCATGAGGCATCGGGGCTTCCAAGATCTCACCGGTGATTTCGCCGAGACTTTAAGTTGCAGTCAACTGACGCGCAGCTATGTCCCTTTTTCCTGATATGTTGGCGCAGATCCGACATGCGCGGTTCATCCAAACTAGCTGAGGTTTCGGGTGCAGAACACAAGCATCAGAGCCCTTGGCTCCAACTCAGAAGCCCTATGCATACGCCCCGTAGCAGTTCCTTTTGGGGGTTCTTATTTAGAATCCTATAAGGTAATCCCAAAAAGGAACTACTACGTGGCCTATGGGTATGCCCTAAATCCCTACGCCCCAGGCGTTAACGCCCCAAGGCCGTTTGCTGAAACCTTGCACCCGAATCACATATAAATATTTGTGTATGTATGTTTACAACGAACACCTCACCACCACACGGCTCCTAGTTCGCTGGCTCAGGCTTATCTTTTTGATCTTTTACATCATTGGCGCGCCTGGGCTCTTCATTGACCGAAGCCTCCCCAACCCGCGGGGTGTTTTGCATGCGCCCTATTCCTCGGTTACTCTGTCTACAACCGTCATCACCTAACCCTGAGGGGAATGGTCACCGCAATATCACTCCTATCCTAAATTACTCATGACCCCGTCTTACAGACTCAGCCCTAAGGCCCAAACCCTAAACCCTAAACCCTAAACCCTAAACCTAAACTCATACGGTCCCCGAACTTGCAGACTGCAGTTAGGAAGGAGGGCTCCGAGAGCGATGACCCAGAGACTCCAACAGCCCTTGATTAAAGGTCCATCCATGAGGAGTCGCTGGTATGACTTAAGGCAAAATTTCAGAATAAGCTGCGTTTAACGATTTCCAATTATATGTTAAGGAAGTCTCCGCAGATAATGAAGGGCTTTGGGGTCTGTGGGAGGGAAAGGCAAAGGTAGAGGGAGAGAGAGCGAGCTAGGCACCCCAACTACTTGGAACCTTCAAAATGCCCTAAGAGGCATCCCGAAAGTCCTAAACCTGCAGCTGGGGCCAAAGTTTTCCTGTCGGCCTGTCAAAGGGAACCGTATGATCGTGCTTCGGTTTTGTTATAAATCCTAAACCAAACGCGCCAAGGTGAGCGTCGTCTTCGAGCTAGTCAAAGCTTTCACCATCGAGGTCTTCGTTGAATTGCACAAGCAAAGACACTCGGCTGCTCGCACGGGGTCGCTGTCAAGATGTGTTGAGGACCTGAGGCGCATCTTATTCCACAAGTTCTCTTTGATCAGTCCGGGATATGAGCTGAAGTCGGGCTCAAGCCCTAAACCCTGAAGCTCAAAAGCCTTAAGCCCTAAACCCGAAACCCAACACCTTGAAGCCAAAAGCCCAAAAGCCCCGAGCATTCAGAGCAAAAAACGGTCCTGGGCTCCAGGAAACGAGCCCAAGAAGGAGTTCGAGGCTCTGAAAGCAGTGCAAAAAGAGGTCACCTCGCGAGGACTTCGTCGGCTCGTGCTCGGGGACAAAGGGGGGGTTTCGGATTTCGGGTTCATGGTCTGTTTTCGGCTCTACCTGTGGCCCAAAAGGCCTACCTTTTTAAGGAACTCACTCACTCTCTCTCTCTCTCTCTCTCTCTCTCTCTATATATATATATATACACATATAGAACCCGTAGTACTGAATCCCAAAAGGTCGGTTTTTTCGGCTACAGGTAGGGTTTAGTTTTTTGGGTTCATGTACCAATTTTAAAACTTTCGGGTTTCGGATTGGCGTTCGGGCGCATTGAGAGTTTGATGCGTGCTCGCGTAGTCAGCTTTGCGCAAAGACAGGCGAACACCTGGCTTAGTCTGAACCAATTCCACTACTCATTGAGCAAAATACGATGAAGTTGAGTGCTGTGTTGAAGGTTTAGCGTTTAGGGTTTAGGGTTCAGGGTTTTGCAGGACAGACGCTCCATTATCGGGTCGTGGGGGACTTGTCGCTCCACGAAAAGATTGTGGCTGCGCTGGAAGAGGTGCAGGGTTTGGAGGGGCGACGGGGAAATTGGGGTGAGGCTTTAAACAGGGTTTAGGGTTTAGGGTTGAGCGGGAAGGGAAGCTGAAAAAAGCCCAGGCACTGCCAGCAGAAAGCCGGTGTTTTGGCATGCTTGCTGTTGGCTTCGGTGCTCGTTGGATCGTATAGGTCCAAACCCTATTGACGAGTGAACCCCTTGTTTGGGCAGGGTCCACGTTCAAGCCGGTAAGTCAAGATGTCGGCTTTGGGTGTCTTGCTTTTTCCAGAACGGCCTACAGGCTTAGGGCAGTGCACTCCCTCTGAATCCCAACATGGAACCCCATGGGCAGTCCAATTATGAAGCTCGGAGACTGGCTATAAAGGCTTAAGTGTGGTGTCTTCTACAGAATTCACCGTGCCCAAAGCTGGAGCCCGAAATCCAAGCATGCGTTGCTGCAGATGGAGCACGACCTCCACGAAGAAAGCGAGAAGCTGCACGAAGAGAACGAGAAGCATCAGCAGCACGATGCTCATCCTGCTGCGAATGGCCACCCTCCTGGGCAACACCACTAGTGCCACCAGGTCTGTCTCAAGGCTGGGCGCGACAACACTACTAACTACTACTACTACTACTACTACTACTACTACTACTACTACTGCTACTGCTACTACTACTACTACTACTACTACTACTACTACTAGGGTTTATAGGGGTTTAGGGTTTAAGGTTTAGGGGTTTAGGGTGTTGGCTAAGTGAAACTCTCGCCGCTGCTCCCGACAGTCCTTTTATGAAGGCATTCTGAGAGCACATGAGAGACCTAAATCATATACCACCACCCGCTCTTGAGACACGACCGCGCTTAGTCTCGGGAATGGGCTTGCTGATCTTGCCAATTCTGCCACAAAGTCGTTCTGTGTTGGGTTGCCATGCGGTTGTGTAGAGATTTGTCTGAGGGGTGTTGTCTGGTTTCAGGTTTGAGAGTTGTAGGACAGTCCTTCGGGACAACTGTGCATCCTGACTTTCTGGATTGGGGTCTTCCAGCTTTTTTTTATTGAGGCTCAGGAAGTATAATAGGGACTTAAATAACTGCCTATACTATTTTGGTGGTTCCTTATTATAATTATAGTATAAGGGACCGCAAATCGCTGTTCTAATTATTAAGGCCCCTACATTAGGATCCGAGAAGAAAGGTTGAAGGTTTTTCGCCTGACAGGGGCCTCTGGTTTATGGCGTAAGGTATCTCTCAGGAGGTGCATGGGAGCAGTTCTACACCCTAAACCCTATAAACCCTGGACCCTAAACCTAAGCCCTAAACCCTAAACATGAAAGGGCCTGAATTGACATGGCGGTTTCGGCTGAGTCGCCCCATTCCACTCACACTGTGGCTTGGAGAAGTAGGCCTGTCAGCAAATCGTCTTGCACGGCTGAAGCCAGTTAAGGACCTAGAGAGCCCTCAAAAGCACTCACATATGCCGGGAACCTTGTAGCCTCAAAAAAGTTGTTCGGCCCTGATGCAAAGATGGTGCGGGGCTTCCTTCCTCCGAACAAAGACATGGCCACTGCTATCCATTTTCTCAGAGGCTCCAATATCCTTTAATGAGGGACGGTCGATGCATCTTTAGCATCTGGGTTTTGAAGGCTACAGAGGGCGGTGTGGCGTTGTGGGGTTTTGGTGTTTGGTTTCTTCCAGACAGGGATTCCCTGTTGGATTACGACAGAGTCCTGCGTCCTGCGACAGTAAGATATGCAGATCTGAACAATTGGTAGTCAGAATCTTTCCTCGTCGCGGAACTATGGCAACTATTGAGGGCTTTGGATTTAGGGTTTAGGACACTATAGTTCTTGAAGAGATGTTTCCTAATTTAAGGGATATTGGAGCCTTTGAACTTCTCATCTTAGGATGAGCGCACACCCTCGAACACGGAGCGGCATGAGAGGCGTGAAAAAATTACCAAGTCGGTTTCTTAGTGGTAAATTCCTGTAAGTTTATTTTGATATTCTAGCCCAGAACCCACCCCACTCTCGTTATGAAGGCCCCTTGATTGAAACTCTCATTTTGAAGGCCCCTTTCTTGCAACTCTCATTCTGAAGGCCCCTTTTTACTGCAGGATGTCAAAGCTCGATAGTAGAAGCCAGAAGCGGTTTAGGGTTTAGGGTTTACTATAGTAGAAGCCAGAAAGTTGGAACATGATGATCCTCATGCCCTTAAGGTGAACTTAAAGGGATCCTAGACATAAAGGGATCCTAGCACTAATCCTCCTCTAAACCTAGGTTCCTGAGTAGTACCCTTTTGCCCTTTTTACTTTGGGGTCTCCTTATTAAAACCCAACTATAGGAAAAAGGGTACCCTTATTATTTCGAGGTCACTCAGGAACCTAGAAACCCATGTTCCAACTTTCTGGCTTCGACTCTAGGGGACTTCATGGAGGGTCTGGGGCCAAGCCAAGAGCCTGAAAGTTTCGGCGGCAGGGTTGAGGTCAAAATGCATGTGGCTTAAGATATAGGGGCCCTTAATAATTAGAATAGGGTTTGGGGACCCCTTATACTAGAATTGTAGAATAAGGAACCCCCCTAAAATAGTATTGGTACTTATTTTAGGCCCCTACAGTATGCTTGTGGGTTCAGGGTGGGGCGATTAACCTTTATGGCTTTAGGGCGCATAGGGCTTTAGATTCGGGATTCCCCAGGAACTTTAAGATTTTGGATAGCTCGGATAGGTGTTTTGCCAGATATAGCACATCTGTATAGGTTCTAGGCAAGTGAACAAGGTGCCTCTGCACTGATGAACCTTAATCGTGTTGGAAGCACTCTCGGTGTGCATGTGCAAGATGCCTTGGTCTTCTGAGTCTGACTTCAACCCTTGATTGCCTTCACATGTCCCCGATCGCTACACCCGAGTGGTGCAGCGTAAATCCCAACTCGAGGCCAAACAAAAACCCTGTTTCGGAAACCGTCAAACCGGAACCTGCCGGGTAAAGGGCTGAACTGACAATTTCAAACCTGAACCCGGTTGACAGCACGACCCTAAACCGTAAACCCTAAACCCAAAACCCTAAACCGTGTGGTTTCTCTGGTGGAGCCTCAACGGTTTAAGTGTAATCAGAGGTCCGGCACGATGCGAAATTTCGAGGTGATGTGTGTCAAACTATGCTTCAGCCACAGAGCTTGCCAGAACTTTACGGCGAGCAGCTGTGAAATCGGATCCCGCATAGTCGCGTATGTAGGAATCAGAGTTATTTGTCCTCTTTCCCCGCAGGAGCACCCTAAACCTTGCAGCAACGCCATTAGACCCTAGGTTTATCAGGGGCCTGGCGTGATGGAGCCAGCCAGTAGTACCATGGCAACTTGCAGGTGTCCCGCTAGGCACTTTCATGATAAAATCACTCGAGGTACTGTAGAGGCCGGAATCATTACCAATATTGTTCCTATTGGCAGGGTCCTAGGGCTCCTTATTATGTTTATACGAGAATGTACATACGCCCAAACCCTATTCCTAACTATTAAGGCCCCTATATTACCGAACCTGCGGGGCTTCAGGGACCTGCGAAGAAGAACGGCAGGTCTTGACACAAACATGTTTGGTTTCCGAAAGTTGCAACACTGCTCTAGCAAGACTGCACAAAACCCAGTGCATAAAAACCTAGACCTCATATAAACACCGCACACAGAACATTGGAGCTCGAAGCTAAAAGTCGCATCGGTTGACACTTTAGTAGTTAGGGTTTGAGCTGTAGGGTTTATATAGGCCGCTTTTAGCTTCGGGGCTGTTTCCTGGCTCGCCCAGTAGCCACGGGCATTTCGGCATGTGGGTATGGCTTGCGAGGCCTCTGGAGGCCCCTGAATGATAAATCGTGAAGGTGCGGCCAAGTAAACCCTAAACCCCTAAACTCCTAAACCCTAAACCCCTAAACCCCGAAACCCCTAAACCCCTAAACCCCTAAACCCTGAAACCTTTTTCGGGCCCGGCCATTCCCACCGCCTGAAATTCCCAAAGCTTCGCTTCACTGAACTCAGACCGCGCAGGAGCCCTTTTCGGCTTGCAGAAAAGAGCCCGAAGTTTTTGCACAGAACCCTTTGGGTCCAAAGGACCCAGGAATTAGGTACTTTGGTTACGTATAGTAGTTATCTAGGCTAATAGTTTGGAGAGTATATGATTATTAGGTACTTGGACCCTTAGGGCAAAAGTTCTTCAATAGGGCGTTGAGAAGTACAGGCTCTCTGTGGCGCGCTCTGTGTTTGCATGATGGATAACCCTAAACCCTAAACCGTAGGGCTTGTGGTTCGCAAGCTTTAGGCCGAGGCAGAATACCCAAGAGCTCAGATTCACGAGGCTTCAAGTTTTGTAGGGTCTTCGAGTTGACGGTTTAATATAGGGGTCTGAACAATTATTGGAATTATTTTAGGACTTCCTTATTATAATGAAGGTATAGTATACCCCGAAACCCTATTCTATTTATTAAGGCCCCTACATTAAGGCTCTCAGGTTTCGGGCCAGCTGAAGCATCAACATCTATAATAAGTACATCAGATCTCTGGGGGCAAACCGAACGACTGGGCTGGATGCAGGATCCGAGAAGTTCCGCCACATGGGGCAGTCTAGAGCAACACGTATGTGGCCGCCCAAGAGCCGATATGTCTTTGTCATAGTTGGGTAACATGTTGCATTTAAACTCAGTAAGGAATAGGATTTCAACTTCTCAATACGATCCCGACCATGAACTACATGTGTGTGTGTGTGTCTCTGTGTCTGTGTGTGTGTGTGTGTGTGTTTATGTGCGTGTTGGGAGCCAAGAGGCCCTAAGCCATCTAAATTCAATATGCCCTGCTCGGGGGATCATGTGACTTAGTAAGTCGGGTTCGAAGTGCATTAATTGGGGTATGAGTAGATATGAACATACTTACCTTACTTCTAACACCCACTTACTAAGCTTACTAAGTCCCTGATCCTTTGACCCAAACGCCTGAAGTGTAAACCTTGAGAATGAAGTCCTTGGCCGTTCAAAGCAGCCCACCCCAAACCCAAGCCGTAAGCCCTGGACCCTAAACCCTAGACTAGACCCTAAACCCCAAACCCTAGACCCTAAACCCTAAACCCTAAACCCGCCCTAAAGCCACAGCCGTAAACCTTTTGAGAGCGACCGCCAGGGCAGCCTGCGTCTTTTCATCTCGACGATTCCCTGCGTCTCCTGCATCGGAGCCGGGGCCTTTCTCTGACTAGGATTTAGGGTTTAGGGTTTAGGGTTTAGGGTTCAGGGTTTAGGGTCTTTGGTTTAGGGTTTAGGGTTTAGGGTTTAGGGTCTAGGGTTTAGGGTTTAAGTTTAGGCTTTAGGACTCTAGTTCTCCAATCTTCCTTGAGAGAAGAATCCCTTCCATAACTTGGGGGCTATTCTGTGTTGAAGGGATTTTGGAGTCTCCGTGTTTTTGCTCTGTTGATGGTTGTTCAGCTTGAAAATTAGCAGTACTTTGTGCCATTTGTCGATTTTGTCCCCAGATAGCATACGATAAACTGTGGCATAACTATACATAGTGCCAAATTGGAAGTGTCGTTGGATGTTTGGACGGTTACCACCATTTTGTAATATTGTAGTAGTTGTCGTCCCTGAACTGATTCACAAACCCTAGATTTAATCTTTGGCCACTTTGCCTAAACCCAAACCCGAGTCAGTGATCACGCGGAGCCCTAGACTCTCGAGCACTACATGATGCGAACTCTGCCTTCCTGCAAGTGTTGCATTGCGCATGATGTGCACCCATGGGTAGGTTTCCGAAGAGGACTATCTGCACATCTGCAATGCACAACGCGAGCTTAGGTTTGAAATCCCAACGCCGAAGTCCTGAAAGGCTCACGCCTCGCGGACCAACAGTAGTCACGTTGCTTCAGCGGTTCATGCGCCTTCGTACCCACAATCCCAATCCCAAATCCGAGACAAAAGATCCCAACCCTCAGAAATCCTGAAATCATAAAACCAGAATTTCTTAAACGGAAGTGCCCTGAAGCCCTAAGCCCTTATCCAGACTCCGAAGCCCACATGGCCATGGATTTCGTGGTGGACCTCTGCGGCGACGAGGAGTTCACCGACGAGGCGACTGTTGGGTTCGATCTGGGAGGTCAATGGAGGGTTTAGTTTAGGGTTTAGTGTCGTGTACTAGGGCTACTAGGGGTGCCTTCCGGCAGGAGCTCTCACAATAAGTATCCTACGCTGAAGGCTTTTACTAGCGAATTGTTCATGCAGGCTTCTCTTAACAGATATTGTCTAACGTTTTGCAGGGCAAATCTCTGCATGCCCGAATGATCTTACCTGTGGCTTGGGAAACCCTAAACCCTCATCCCTACATAAACCCTAAACTCTCATCCCTAAACCCTAAACTCTCATCCCTAAACCCTTAACCCTCATCCCTAAACCCCAGACCCTAGAAACCCAAAGTTCCTTCTCGAGTTCCTGCCCCAGGTCCCAGAGGAGTGGGTGCGTCGAGTGCAGGAGGCAGATTCGAATATGGCAGAGAGTCATGGGTAATATCGCGGCCTTAATGATTAGAATGGGGTTTGTGGTATATCATACTCTAAGTATAATAAGGAACCCGGAGGCCTCTACATTATCCAAGCTTAAGACTCCTAGCTCTGAGTATGATGTTAGGGGGCACCTTCCGATCTTACGCCACAGGTTTGCGGACTCTGTTACTTAGGTTCTTTTGAAGGTCCCCAGCTGAGGCATGCATAACACAGAAGGCGGACTTCTGCTAGCTCTGCAAGCGGAATGCCGAGCTACCACGGTCACATGCTGCATGAATATTACAGTTGATTTGTAAAGAGTTTAGCTGCATCGAACGTGCCGACATGCAGGGTATCGTGCCTACATGCAGGGTATCAAGCACACCTATGGAAGCCGTGTAAACCCTTTATTCCCCCGAGTAGAACTGTCAACCGCAGTGTACCGAGGTCTCAAGCAAGCCCTCCGAGACCCATGCAATTCCCAACTGAACACGAGCCTGGGGCCGAAATAGTCCGGCATCTCAAGCTTAAGATCTTGGAGTTTAGAACTGGACCCCTGAACCCTAAAAGCCCAAACCCTTCAACCCTGAAAGCATGGAAACTGTGCATTGAAACGGCACCGCCCTGCTGCAGGTTTGTCCCCGTGCGCCTCGCGAAGCGGCTCCTTGCGCTCAAAAGTAGTCTCGGCTTTAGGGCTTAAGGTGTAGTAGCGCTATTGGGTTTTAGATTTTGGGGCTTCGAGGCCTTAGGGCGTGTAAGGGCTGAGGTGATGCAAGGGGTTCGCAGTAAAGCCTTTTGACGAGGCTTCAGGTCTTTGTTCGTATGCTTGCCCCAAACTTCAACCCTAAACCCCACAAGAGGGAATGTAGTTCCAAGGTTAGAAGTATGAGCCCCTAATATGGACCCTTAGGCCTTTCTAGGGGCCCTTAAGGGTACATATAGGGTATATAGTAGGTGTATCAGGATCTCAGGGTTAAGGGCCCATACTAGGGGCCCATGGGTTCAACCTTAGATTAGTTGCAGCTTCAACTTGATTGGTCGCTTCTTGGGCCAGGCTTGAGGTGCGTTTCAAGTCGGTTGTGGTTCTCCTCCTTCCGCGAAGGTATCTCCAAAAGTCTGCCTGAGGCCTTCATTTTTTTAGAATTTTAAGAGTTCCTGCTAAGAAGAGTACAGTTCAGGTTAACTGCTGCATGGTTTGAGGCTCAGGTTTGAAGCTTTTCAGGCGCTCCCAAATAAGGTACCCCCACCACTGGCCCTACCATCCAGAAATCCTTGCAAACCCCTACGAAACCCAAAGAGAACCTGTTTTAAGACCCTGGCCGTGAGGTCGTCGGGTCGCTTCGTGAGACACGGGACGAGTCTCGCACGATCAACCAGCTCTTGGACGGTACCGCGGCTGACGAAGTCACTAGAACTCGACTTGCAAACATCCTAGAATGCAGGACTGTTCTTGCAACCGAAAACCTTGGACACTTGACGACTTACTTGTACAAATGCAAACTTCCCCTAACCTTACCTACCTTAAACCAACAGAAGACCGTAACCCCGAAACCGGAGACTGCACCCATACGCTCCAATGACATTACTTTTTTGATATCTTGTGTCTTTAGTACTAGAAGATCCTAACCATGAGATTGGCTAGCCTAGCCTTTAACCCGGAAGCACTACATCGGAGTGTATACGTAATCCACATCTCCCAAAGAACTTCGCCCTCCTGAGGTCTTCAGCCGGTACCCACCAAGCGGCCCCGACTGGAAACTCCACGTCTTGGACATTCAGGCGACCGGTGAGACAGCACGAACACGAATGAACATGAACACTGCAGAAGTTGAGGTCCAGTAAGACATGCAAATGTACTGTGCGTCCAATGATAGTAGACTTCATGCGAACTGTTGATAGTGCTCGCCGTCGTCATTGTCCTCCGGCGTATATGAAGCTTTTCGAAATGAACGCAAACAACTCGGGGTTGCTCTGCTTTCGCACTACCCTGTCGAACCCGAGGCTAAATGGGGGGGCGCAGCAAGGCGGAAAGCAGAGAAAGCCATGTCGACAGGCCATGCATCTACTTCATTGCCCGGTGCAGAGACTACCGAGGAGACCCCGACAGGTGGGACCGTAGAGCTGAAGCAGTGCACGAGCGAAGCGTCCATCGCCTCATGCAAACGTTTGCTTCGGTTGGAGCGCGTGGTGAAGTAGCACGGGCGCTTACGTGTTGTGTTGCCCGATAGGCCAAGTTCCGGGCGACGGCTTGCAAGCAACATCACACTTTAATGTGGAAACCCTGCGCAGGTAGCTGCGACTAACCATCTCAATCAGCATCGTTGACACGAGCTTTACGTCGGTTGTAACAAGACCCTAATGACTACAAATGCAACATCCAAAACTACCCTGAGGTTTGATACTGAAAGCACCTGACACAAACTTCCAGACTCCATGTATTCTAAGCCCTGAGCCCTAAGTCCCGAAGTAACCTCAATCCCCCTAGCTGGCTGTGAGGAAAGACGCCGCCAGGCTGGGGTCCTTTGCGAGCCCCGACAGCTCGCGACATGCCGCTTGGGAACGCAGCGCAGTGCCGTTCCCGGGTTTAGGGCATCACGGTTTCGGCTCCAGGCAGACGGGTATACCCATAGGCCCCAAAGTAGTTCCTCTTTGGGATTAAAACCTCATAGGATTCTAAATAGGAACCCCAAAAGGAACTACTATGGGGCCTATGGGTAGGAATTGCAGTGTTCGACGTTGAGTGTGACTGGAATCGGGCTGTCAGGTGTCAGGTTGAGAGGAGTTGACAAGGGTAGATTCTTTTAGCAACAGTCGGAGATTTGTAATTAAATTTCACCGTGCAGGGATTCCAAAGCCAAACATCCCAAAGCATGCGGAGACAGGGCGTCCCAGTCATGTCAACTCGATGATGCAACTAATACCCCGTACGATATCGACCGCAGCAGCAAACGCTGCTGGAGTGTTGCGAAGTCACACCGTAATGAGCTTTGGAGATCTCAACGTGAAGCCGTGCACTCGACAACCTGAACCGGTGGATTACGTCAGTTCAAAAAACCCTAAACCCTATAAACCCTAAAGCCGAAACCCTTGGAAACTGAATAGCAGAAGAAAGGGTACTCCTATTACTAAAGGGCCGCTGAGGAACTAAACCCTAAACCCTAAACCCTAAATAGCCGAGTGCCTTTGGAAGTTTCGCCGAGGAAGATCCGGCGAGGTCCAGGATCGCCCTTGCAGCCGCCCTCCTTCGAATATCTGGCGCCCGGGAAGCAAAGTAATTGCCAACAGAACCCGTGGTATTTAGCTGTCCGCTCTTACTGGTTTCAGTGGCTTGGGTTTCTGAGTTCTCAGCCTTATTAGGTAAGCTGGGATGAAGTGAACCATGATCCTATGTTATGTAGGCAGGCCGTCCTCTCGAGGGACTAGTTCCATCTGCACTGCATAGCCCCGGCTTTAGCGGGCCAGGTCGTCTTGGACTTTGAATGGACTGCAGACAACCGGAAGGCAGTGAAACCGATCAGTGGCCTGTCTGCAGTGCTGAGTTGTGTTTGCACGGTCTGATGGTGGGAGGGGCTACATACTGTTTGTCAAGTGCTCCGACATCTTGTCTCTGCAGGACGGGATCATTTCTTGCATCTATCTTCGAAACCACAAACGCAAGTACTTGTAGCAGCGACAGTGAGTTTTGAAGGTTTGTTCATGTATGTTCAAATATTGTTCAAGTTTACGGGACCATGACAAGAAGGAAGCTTCTGTCGGGCTCAGGCGAGATCACGCAGTTTCCCTCCGTACTGGTGCGACTGGCCGGCCGAAAGACCGCCATCGTCGATGAGCTGCTTCACTTAGTTGCAGGGTCAGGGGACTTAGTAAGAAGGGTGATCTTTAAGGTACCAGTAGCTATATCAAGTTATAATATCTACGATAAGAATAACGCTAATCAAGGGTACCTATAGCCTTAAGTAGTACGCCTAGAGCGGCTTGCAAAGCATGAACTATGAAACCCAAAGCCCGATGCCACGAATTTCAACGGTCCCGGCTCCTGGGACCTGTTTAGGAGAGCTTGGGCTGCAGCTTCAGCTGAGCATCCCGGGTTTAAGATTTAGGGTTTGGGATGTAGGGCTTAGGGGTTTAGGGTTTAGGGTTTAGGGTTTTAGGGTTTTAGGGTTTAGGGTTTAGGGTTTAGCTTGGGCTGTAGCGCCAGGGGGTGAAAGTCTGTCGTACCAGGTTCAACGCTTATGTCCGTCCCACGCTGAATCCGATCTTGCCCCAGTTCTCCATTGAGCCACGGCTGCAGACATCTGGGTCACATGTTGTATAACGCCATACAGCCACCAGACGGCTTCAAAATCTCACGTATGCCTTTGCCGAAAGACCGGTAAAACATGGGCTTCTGCTTCTCACGTGAATGACCGGGAAGGCCGGATATAGCTATGGAGTTATCATCACAGCAGCTACGTATCGGTACGTATTCGCTCTTCAACTACCTACTGCGCCCCCTGAACCCCCCACGACCCTCAACCCTCAACCCCAAAGCCTTGAAGGAGCCTGACCCAGAGAGCCCACTGCCCCTTAATTGAGGAACATACCTTGGATCATCATATTAGGCCTCCGACAGTTTAATGTGTATTCCTAAATTGTTGGGTACTGGGCTCTCTGCAAATATACCTTGAAACCGGGACCCAGGACTTGACGGGCATCACCCAAGACATGGTCGACAGGTCGGCTCCTTTGGAGGACCAGAGACCTTTTTTAGGGATTCAAGTTTCCGGACTTAGGGTTTGGGATTTCGGGTAGGATTTGGGATTCGTGGCTCTGGCGTATAGTGAACTTCAAGGATATAGAAGCGGTCGTTGCTCCGCAGTCAAGCTATCCCCAGATGAATCTTCAATCCTCACAATAAGAAATTAACACTAACACGCAGAAAGCCACCAAAACCCTTCGTCATTCCCGAGACCTGAACCTGAAACCACAGACCTCGGCTCCGAAACCTGCAACCTGCCATCAGAGAGAGTCCCTCCAAGTCCGCAATGCTTTGCAGGAAGTTCTTCCTCAGTACATGGAGCTCCTAGGCTGCTATACACAGCTGGAGCTCAGTATCCGCAGGATCCCGGGCGTGTGCTTTTACGCAGCTTGTTGGGCTGATGGACCTTAACCCACCGGAACCTACTTGTTTGTAGGGCCCCTAGAATTGCCATATTAGCGTTATTTATAATAAGAACGTTCAAAAAAGTGGGTTTTGTTGGGCTGATGAAGTTTCAGCGCACTCAACCGGGCTTGGGGTAGTTCAATGGGCGTGGAACGCCTCTCCTCGAATTGTACGGCTGATCGGGCTTTTCGGGTAGATGATAGGCGAGGATGGCGGGTGTTCATTCCTTGAACTTGGCAAGCGGATGGAACACGACAGTTTGTTCTAAAAGTAGGTGGAAGATTGAATTGTCGCAGACAGAGACCCCGCCGAAGAGCCGAAACACATCATCTCCAGCCTTGATTCTGTAGGCCGCTGACTAGGCTGACTAGGATTCCTCGAAATGTTGGGCAACATGTCTAAACTCAAGCTCAATACTCCCTACGAGTCAGAAGGTTCTGAAGGTGCTTCTAGCAGCTTCGTCCCGAAAGTTCAATCCATGCGCCGCAGGACATGACGGAACCCCGAGTTCCTAAGCTTCAATCCCTTACTCTTACCATCTCTTACCCAAGGTCTCTAAACCACGACTCGGAGAAGCTGAGGTGGCTGAAGTCTCACGGACTGGTGTCAGACGATGGGCACCGTCAAGGCACGGCTGCAGAATCTGACACTTAGACTCCAACCCCAAACCCAAGACCACCTGGTTGAAACGCAAGAAGTTGAAATCCTTTGCTGACGAAGCTTTGCGATGCCCAGTCCCCAGTTCAGCGTCACAGGGCTTGTGCGAGCTTGTCATGCAGCGGCTGCAGTTTGAAATTCTTGTCCAGAGACAAAATACTTATGCTTTCAGACTTGGGCTTTGTGGTTCGGGGTTAGGGTGTCTTGGCGACAATTGCAGGACACTGGGCCATCTGCACCTGGACAGATGCAGACATTGGGGCGCAGCTCGTGCGCGAACTAAGCTTCAAGGACAGGGCGTGACTGGTCAGCCCACCGAGCTCCTACTTACTGCAGAGTTCTGAATAAGCTCCCTAGTGCCTCAATATGTCGAACCCCCCCCATCGTGCCCACACTCTAGTCTACTTATTCAGCATAGGCCTCTTTATGATTTTTGTCCGAGCCATGTTGGGGATCCTGCGTGGCTTACAGACCCGAGTTGCCCAAACGGTAGGTTTACAGGTCGTGTTTCAAGAGGGCTGAAGATTCACATGATGGTGATCATGCTGATGATGACGGTCATGATCTTGTTGAAAAGTGGGTGACGGTGGAGCAGCAGCGACGAAGAATAAAATCAACAACGGTTCACCTGCAATCAGCAATGCCGGCAGTACAGACCATGGCAGGAGTACTAGTTGCGCTGAGGTCTAATATGAGATGATGGTGATGTGATGGTCATGGTGGCGACGATGATGACGGCGCTGACGCTGAACAGTTCACTACTGTAGCTGCGCGTGTATTATCTGGCCGTTTCTGGAACATTTCCGAGCGGCTCGTCATTCGACATCAGCACTTGTGACCAGAGGCATGTGGATGTTCCAATGTGCAGGAAAAGGGCTTGTTGGATGCGTTGGGCAACGACGCGCCCTTCTTACCTTGAAAGCTGCTCAGTTTTCACACATCCTGGAGATACCACCGACCACAACAGAGGCTGCATATGTGGAGGATCCACTTGCAAGAATGACGGCAGTGCAAAAGGGACGTATCATGCAGGCAGCTTCACTGTGTGCAATGGAAGCTGCTTTTCCATGTAGCAGCTTTTCCGGGGCACCTGTAGGAATGCGTTGCAATGGAACCAGGAGAGGCACAAATCAGAGACCACATGATTTTGTATGCGATGGCCGAAACGTAGAATGCAAGAGTGCATCAATAGGTTGGGATCAATCTAGACAGACGTGGAACGCGCGCTGGCAGCACGTCAAGTTCGACCAGGCTGCAGGCATGATTCATCATCTGGTGCTGGCCATGCACTCGCCTGGACGAGTTGACATACTATTGCACGACCATGCCTTCGGTGTTGCACGACACGGTGTGAGAACCAACAACCGCGGATATTCCATCGCCGTGACTGCAGGACGTGGAATTCGATGCCCGAAAGAAGCTTGCGAGAAGATGTTGCGCAAAATGAGGGATGCACCGGGCTCTTGCGTGCAGTTGCAATCATGGGAAGCGCGTGACAGCTTGTTCGCACGCCTGATTTGTGAGGAGTCTGCTAGAGAAGGCACGAAGCCAGCGGCACACTGCTACCGGAATGTCCCCTTGGCTGGGAAGTCTGCAAGCTCACGGGGTAGGTGCTTGCAGAAGTTGGCTTTCGAGGTGGACCGAATCATGCACCCTCATTGTATAATGGAAGACACCGCAGGGGAACCGGATCTCGTGAGCAAGGCGCGGCATCGACGTGGCTTCGCGCGGGGCAGCGCCGATTGGTTTCGCAATTCTGTCAGCGTGGAGTTCAAAAGTTCCAAGATGCACTGGTCTGCGTGCCATTCTTGCTGGTCTGTGCGTTTCTTTGGTGTCAAGTTTGCGCTTTCCGCTTCAGCAGTAGGGTCTCCCGCATTTGATGAGCTGTGGTTGGGGCTGTACAGCCCGCTAGGTCTTCATATAGTCAAACACGTCAATGGCTTTGCCGTCTCAAGTCATGGTATACGAACACAGACCGACGGCCATCTTGTGACAGTGCGTGGCCCGAGGGGAGAGAAGGACCCCATGGCTGCGCTGCAGGTCATACTGGACAAGTTTCGTGAAGCAGGCTGTGAGCTCTTGGCTATTATCACTTGGTGATGCCACATGCAGAACTTGAAACTCGACTGCGGATCCGCAGCGAGATCGCCCGCATGTGGATTCGTCTTGTTCGATGACAAAAAACATGGGATGTGCGGAAACGAGGATTTTCGAGCCTGGGTGGGAAACATGGCCCAAGCGATGCGAATGTCGAAGATCAGGGGTTCTGCGGTCCTGAGGGCTTGAGCGAAGTCGTAAGTAAGTACGTCAGATAGGCGAGGTACAATCATCTGAAACTCTTCCAAGCGTCCAAACCTCGAGCTGTGCTGGAGCAACGACGAACTCTGCGAGGAAGTGCCGCTTCCGGGCTGCTTTGATCAGTGGGTGGATCTGAAGGTTATGCGCCTTGGCTGTTTGCTTTCCGTGGGTGCCACTCAGGTTTCAGACTTTGCACCTTTCTGTGTCTGCACATTCGCATTCAGGGTGGGGTGCTCGAGGTCGCAGGGTGGCTCTGGGTTAGACGGCTAGACTTCTGCCACTTCTGTCCGTTTGAGACCGAGGTTTCAGCGACATTACCGACGCGAGCCCAAAGGCGAGGAGCTTGTCACTGTCATGGTTTGTACGGGGGTCTTCTACGGATGACCGCCAGCAGTGTTTAGTCAGCCACGACAGAACCCAAGAAGTCCCCCTATCCCTTATCTGGTGACGCTGGCATCCCATGAAACCATTCGAACGGAAATCTGCCGAGCTTTGTTCCGGCTGCTTCAGCACATGTTACGGTGTGCCACTGTATTCTCCAGGAAGTGCTCGAAAGATTGCAAACGCAGAACCCTGATTCTTGGTCTTTCCCCTAAAGCTGCGGATCTCTTGTCAGGTTGCAATCTTGAACTGCGGTCATATCGGTGTTGGCACGCCATTCTTATGGTTCGTGTCTGTGTTCGTGCACCGTTACATTAGGTGCTCGTGTAAGTGTTTATTTCACGAAGAGATCCAAACGCTCGTTCGCATCGTTCTCTCAAGATGCGAGCGCATACTCGAAATTTGAAGAAGTGCCAGTGAGAGCTCAGATGTAGCCTGCCGTAAAGAGTCCAAATCTGCAGTGCTTCGAAGGTGGCTTGCAGAAGTGTGTGGAAAGCCTTGGCCTCACTTTCGAGGCACGCCGGGATGACAGCGGCCACTGAAGTTGTGGGTCGGTTTTGGGGCGGATTGGGTGCATTTCTCGCTGGGTGTTCCTTAGGAATCGTTTGTCATCTCTTTCGATTTGCTGTAGCAGTTTCAGCATAAGCGCTTACGGGGTTGTTGAACAGACTGCCTTATGATTTGCGGCCAAGGGCCTAAAGCTTGGAGTCAACTGGTTGTAGCATGTAAATCGGCACCTATCGATGACGCTCGCTGCGCTTTAGAAGCTGGCAACGTCGCCGGCTTGGACCCCTGCAGCCCAATAAGACAGAAGGAGACAAGCTTCGAGCCTCCTT